GGTTTGCAGTATTATTTATCTGCATTATTATTAGTGCCCTGAAGAACCATACATCAGGAAGCCCTCCTGATAGTGCCCAGCCACACAGCAGAGACTGCCCTGACCAAATCAATGCCAACTTGAAGAACAGGAGACAACAGATGGATACCATCAGACAACAAAATTCAGGGAAAGAGTGAAACGGTACTGGGCCAGAATATAACTGAGCTATGGCAAGCAAGTCAGCAGACTGACTGCTGTAAACTTCTGGTTTATTGGTTTTTTTAGATATTAGATAAACCAGGAGTGGAGCCTTAAGAAGGAGTTTGAAGGGAGATAATGAAATAGCTCTGCAGATGTTTACAGAAATTTCCTCCCAGGCATGAAGGGCAGTGTGGGAGGAACATGAAAGCGCTTGTTGGAATATTTATCGCATGGGGGTGGGAGCTGATGTTGTGGGCTGTCAGAGGGAGGTGGTGGCATCCCTCTGGTGCATAAGAAGGGAGAGGAGTTAGAGTCACAGGAGAGCACAAGGAGAGTTGAAGCCAGCAGAGATTCAGTTCCTTAGAGGTCTGAGGCTCTATCCACCATGGTGGTTCCAAGCTGAGGTTTTGGTAGAGAAAGTTAAAGAGAACAAATGTGGGAAGATGGTTGTTCACTTGGTTTTGTTTTGATTTTGGGGAACTTTATCCAAAAAAGGACGACACCGGCTCTTCACAGGGAATTCAGCTGCAGCTGAAGATATCTAAATGCAGGTGTTTGTGTGCGAACTGGGTATCTCATGTCCAGTTACCTCCGTGGAGATTTGTGCCTGGCTTCAGGTGCCTCAGGCAAGGTGTCTGATGCCACTTTAGGTCTGCCTGGTCTTCAGCAGCCATTCAGAAGGACACCTATCTCCAAGGACCTGTTGAATTGAGTCAGTACAGTCAGTAGACATAGAGCAAGCAGTTCATCACACCCTGAATAGATTAATCTGCATCTCTTTTGACTGTACTGGGGACTTAGTATATCTTTATACAGAGATATCTACACTTGGGTCTTAGCAACAAACTGACTACTGCTCCATGGATATTGAATGTACTGCTCAGTGAAATCTGTGCTCTGCACACGTTAGCAAGAGTTTTGACTTCAGTCAGATGATGACTTACTTTCTGTGCTTTGTGCAGCACTTAGTATCCAGTCATTCTGTTCAGCTTGCAAATGCCGATGCTTCTTTAATTAAAATTTCCTACAAGCTCTTGAATTAACACCCCATCCATCTGTTATTCCACTAATATCCGTGATAATGTCTTGCGGTAGCTCCCAAAGCTGCAGCTGAGCAGTGAAATACGAGGCAAGCACTAAGCTTTTCGAACTCCAGCAGAGGTGTGGGCAGGTGTCTCAAACATCACTCTGCAGTTCCTGATGGAAGATGACAAGTAGGGTCTCAAAAGCAGTGCAGCTGCCCCTGTCCCCAGGACAGCGTCCATTGGTTTAGGGATAGCCACGTGTTACTGCAGATGCATTGCCCAGTGCTGGAAAAAGCTGTCTTGGTGCTTGTTGGAATACTTATGTACTGCTGTACTGGGCTTTAAACAGGAAATACGTTCACCAGCTATCTGTAAGACTCTGTTTAATACTGTGCTCTGCTGGTTTTTGTGATGCATTCTGTTTTAAAGGGCTTTTTTCTGTTTGTGAGCTGAGAAATTGTGCCAGAATAACTGGAAGCAGTCTAAAGACAAGAAATGAATACATGTGAAAAGAACAACTCGTTATTTGAATAAGTTTGCCTGAAGGGCGTATTTCTAAACTTTTACTAAAATTCTATTCCCTTCCTTCATGTTAATTAAATTAAAGCTTGGGGGGAGACCATAATATAGTAGTGTGATATATCTGGGACATAACTCAAGAAACAAAAAGACATCCTACTCCCCTTGGCTCATCTGTCTTTTTATTGAATGCTGTGAGATTTCATTTGCAATAATGAGCCACTTCTGTACAGAACTTTTCCTTTCTACCAGACGAAAGGAAGAGCATGTTGACAGGAAGTGAGAGTTGCATAATCCCTGCACAAGTCAATGGCTGAATCAGTGCTCTGTTCTTCACCGCGCTGCTTTATATGGCATCTGATTTTTTCCTTCCTCTGACTTGAATGAAAGAAGGATCAGTTCCTAACAGACCACCTCCATCAGGGCATCAGAGACACATTTCTTTTCGTTATAAATTATTCTCATATCATGCTGGGGTTAAATAGCGTGTTTATGACATCCATTCAACAAAATCATCCAGGGAGATTATGTTATCCTTGGAATCAGCCTTTCCAAGTCTTGTAGAGTGGGCTAACGCAGTAGCAATATTTCTCCAGCTTTTTCCCTGTTTTTCTTTCTTGCAGTTGGAAGTGGTGACTTCTGGCTGTTCTGTGCTGGGCCACATGCAGGCACAGCAGGAGGCCCTTGGCTCCTCTGACTGCATTTGCTGTCCAAACAACTGCTCCTCACCCCCTCAGAGGAAGAACCAGTGGGCAGATAAAAATATTTTGCAGGCCAGATTTGGCTAATGGGCCATGAACTGAAGCAGCCTAATCAAAATACATGTTTAATTGAAGCCTGTTTCTTGAATTTTTGGCACGGAATAGGACACGTGCTTGTCTGGTTTGGAGGTTTTGCATGTTTCAACTTATGATCACATCAGTGGTATTCAGTGGCACTCAGACTTTCCAGGAATTGCTTAGTCCCATGTGAGAGTAAGCATACATACTTGAGGTAGTCCTCAAACAGGCTCAAGTGCAAGTCTGCTAAGTGGCACCTTTACAAAGTATGACTATAGTCAGATCAGCTGTGAACATTTCTGGGAATATCTGCTTTGCTGCTTTGCTTTTGTGTTTTTTGTTTGTTTGTTTGTTTGTTTGTTTGCTTGTTTTCCCCCAAAATGTTGGCTTTGTCTGTATATCTAAATGAAAATTAGTGCTTCATATGTAGAGTGCAAGAGATTTCCCTCAGGCCTGTGCTTATATCCTTAGTACCATAGGGAGTGATTCTCCAAATTTCACTTCCAGGCAGGACCCACACAGATATCCCCAAATCAGATCTCTGTTGAGACACACATCTGAGACCCGTAACATTTGTGGCCTTCTCTCAAAACATCCCTGGACCACACACCTTTCTATGCTGCGTTTCTCTACATTGTCCCTGCTGCTTATTTAAATAAGATAACACGGTAGTGACTTCAGAATATAAAGACATAAATAAGTATTAGCATATTTAGTTTTCATATTGATTAGTTATGAATTTCAGATGCATTTTAACTATATGCTATTGCCAGGAGTTCTCATGCCTTCTGATGATAGGTGTGGCTGGCCCCCTGTCTTCTATTTCTCTCTCCAGGTAGGACAGCAAGACCCAAGAAAGGAGTTTATAAGACAGAGCATAGATGGGGATCAGCCATTTATCTCTAGATCCATCAGAAATTAGGTAGTTAGCCATCTTTAGACAAGAAACTTTAGAAGAAGGAGCCTAACATAAAAGGCATTGAGATGTCGGTAATAGCAAAGGTCTGGAAGAAATTTCCCAGAGAGGACTATATTGGCTGAAGATAACCCAGAGAAGATGTTGACTTGACTGGTAAGATGCCAAGGGTCAGACCACAAAACTAAAAGAAAGGGAATCAGGCTGTAAGATGTTAAATTATAACTAACAGCCAGCCCTCAATAGGAAAGAATCAGATAAGGGGTGGAAGACATTGTCTGGGAAAAGAGACGCCTCTTCAGTGTTTAAGTCTCTGGCTGATGCTATAAAGGAGAAGCCTATGTCCATTTATTAGGTGTACACTGTGCCTAGCTTGGTTGCATAATTGCACAAGTATGTATAAAAATGTATATGTTGGAGCTTTTTTCTGGAGTCATGCCAAAGGTTGATCTCAGTCAGCCTTGCTGTGAGCAAATACTTTGCCACTGAGCTGCTGAACACAGCGCTGGTCCCACTGGTTACCTAAAACATGATGATCCAGTAATTCACTCATACACAGAATGCACCTTACTGGAATGTATTGTTCAAGTTTTCTTCATAATTATTTGTAAAGATTAATCTATTACTGCAGCCAGGAGATGCACTTGCTTTTATGTAGGTAGAATGGGGGTTATGTGAATCTTAGTAGAAAAATTACTGTCGGTAAACTTTGGTGTGACTGTGGGTGGCCTTGGTTAGACTTTCAGCAGAGTAGTGAATATTTGGAGGTCAAACCTGTGAAGATGTCTAAAGTCCTGTTTTCTAGTTACAGTCAGCTGACCTTTCAGCAGTCTCTGAAATACTCAGAATGTGTTGGAAATGGAACTCAGTCTCTTAAGCGATCTTTATAAACAGGTAAACAGAACTATTTTAAGAATGAGAGGCATGAGGCAAAGGGGTACATGTCTGATTTTTTTCCCCTCTTCAGATATATATTTGGGATAGATCACATTCCCAAGAGTCTGGACCTGAAGTGAAGGAGTAGACAGGTGGTAATTCATTTCTCTTACATGCTGCAGGATGGATAAATATCACTTCTTTATTTTCTGGGGGTCCTTGAAAAGTATTATGAGAAGCCAGGAAAAATAGATGTTTGTACCCTTTGTCCATCTCAGCAGTTTCTGATGTTCAAGGAACCTTCTAAGCAGGGCTAGCCAAATTCTGTCTTCCTGCATATGACCCACCGAGCTGTTACTGTTTCCAGTGGAGCACTTTCTTTGCCCTCTAATACCAGACACAAAGGACAGTAATAATTAAGTCATTTACACTGCTTTGATTTAAAAAGGCTTGTCTAATCATGGAATGTGCCAGGAGATTTTATCTGACACAATTTTTTCATGCCACCTGTACATTCGTTTCTCTCCGCAGTCATCCACATCAAGCTTTCAAGCACAAAGGTTTTCATATTTTGCATCCCAGGAGTAATAAAAAATTGAAACAAATTCTTTATAGAATTTTAATTCCAGTGCTCTTTGTTTTCACTCTCTCCTTTGATTTTTGCAGCTTTCTCTAAAAGTGTTCTTTTTGGTTTTCTTTAAGACTGTATGTGGATGGACCTTTTGGAAGTCCCTTTGAGGAATCCCTGAACTATGAGGTCAGCCTCTGCGTGGCTGGTGGTATTGGAGTTACGCCATTCGCATCGGTACTCAACACACTGCTGTAAGTGAGCTCAAGCTTTTAAAATCCATTTCTTCCCTCCACCCTGCAATTTACCATAGTAGTGCATGTCAGAAGGGGTTTGAGAGTATTTCAAAACTTCTACTAGCATAACACAAGTGAATTTCCTTAAAGAGAGGTAAAGAACCGGGATGTCCCCTGGAGAGCATAAATAATCTCATACAAGCTTTGTAACCCAAAGAATTCTGGCAGAGTTGTGCCACTAATGCACATGAGCTGGGACACTTGGACTAACGTTTATATCCTACCACCAGCCTCACCTGTGACTATTGATTGCTATAGTCACAGACCCTTCAGCTGGATTTGTTCCCCGGTCTCTGCTTAGAGGAGGCTATGTACCATGGTAGTGTGTTTTTGAGATTCAGGAGGTCATGACAATCCTGCTGGAAATGCAGGGCAACTCTCCAGTTCTGTCTGAATTTTGTAAAAGTGTAAACTTAGGGTTTTAAAGGAATGGGCTTGACTCGGATTCAGGTCATGTTTGGATGTTTGACTCTATTTGAAGTTTTAAAATTTTAAGTATGAATTTTTCTTTACTTTTTTCCCTTTTATTTTAAATTAAAACCTTTGAAATTTTGTTCAGACTGAATGTTTCATCTCCTGTTTCTCTGTCACACTGGCAACATGCTTCCACCAAATCCTACACTGTATGATGTAGACTTGCTTTTATGATTGCTGCTGATTTTTATTGCTGGAGCATTGGCTAAGAGCTCCAGTCACAATTTAAGCACCCCTGTTTCATAGGCACAGTATAAACAGCCAACCAAAGCAGCAATCTTTCTCTGAAGTGTAGAAAGGCTAGCTGCCTTTGGGAAGGTTTTACAATGCACAGCTGAAGCATTTGTTCTAAGATGTAAATGCCAATAGCCAGCTCTAACTCCAAAATTAAAACTTGGATTTTAAATGCTATCCACGTTCTTCTGTCCTTGATCTGGGCTGGACTTGGCAATGCTGAGCACTTCAGAAAATTATCAGCCTCACCTGTCTTATAGTGCAGCCCTCAAAGACCATCTTGGGCTCCCTCATTTTCTTTTCCTATTAGTGTATTGATCATCTTCTCAAAGTTAGAAAGAATGTGAAACTTGGGTACAATTTTGCTGAAAGCCTGTAGTCCAGATGGGTAAACGGACCATTTTTCTTGGGATGGTTTATCCTTGACAGCATTTAGCTAAAATGTCACAGATCATAATGTTGGGCCAACAGCAGTTAATGAGATGGCTACCCCAACCAGAGTGTTATTAGAAGCAATAAGAACTTGCACAGACATTGCTATAGAAGCTTAACATCCAAAAACTTGAGCAATCCACACTTTTGGTTAAAGCCATAAATTACTTCCAAGCAGCCAATCCCATAATCTGGCTTTGTAGCCAATCTTCCTCATGTGCACTGTAGCATTATGCTGGGGAATAATTTTGTGACTCTAGAAAAAAAAAGTAACAATCTCAGCCTGCTTTCATTCTCAGTATTTAAACATCTACAACAAATCACAAGCGTACTGGATGAGCTGCCTGTTGTGTTTGCCCTGGCTGAGAAGCAGAAATTGGCAGGTGTGAAAATGCAAACTTCCTTATGATGCCAGCACTGCAGAGCAGCAGGGCCAGTCCTGTTGTGTCAAGGACAGGCAGTTCTGGAGGAGATCAGAACCCTGTCGAGATGGAGAGGCATTTTGTTTCCAGCTCAATTATGTTCCTGTTGTATGAGCACAATTTAATTCCTGCCCCTGCCCTTGACTGCACTTAACTGTTGAACCCTGCACCTATTTTTAAGAAGTCATGATTTACATTAACAAAAGCTAGTGGCTTGAAAGCTAGTGTCTTGCAATGGGAGGATCCTTAAATAACAACTTTTATTATGGGCACTGGTAATATTTAGAAGCATGAAAGAAGTATTATTTGCACGTGGATGTGGTTATAATGGGAGACTGCACCTGGGAGATTTTCTCTGAACTACTGAGCTACAGCAATTCCGTACAAAATTCCTTGCATTTTTCTCTTCTTCGTTTGTCTGTTTTTATGATGAAAGGCACTCATTTTCCTTGCTACTGCTTGTAGTTATCTTGTCACATCTGACCAGATCGTGACCCTTCCTAAGGGTTTGTCTTAGAGGTAGACAGAAGAAGATGGAAGAAATCCTAGTCTACAGGTCAACAGCTTACAAATACAAAAGCTGAAGTCAGAACTTGAAAGACACTCCTTCCCAGTCTTAGTGCATGTTTTTCTCTCTGTAAGGGAGTGATCACATAAAGGTGAGTTCTCAGCTGCGGCATGCTGCTGAAAATGTCTCCGTCCTTGCTCCTCATGCTTATGGTGGAGGTTAATAGCATGGAGAGTTGAGACAGTGGTTGGAGCCATTCTTTATGTGTATTTGTTAGTGCAATACCATGTCTGAGTATGCTGGCAGCCTTAGAGTTTAAATAATGCACAGTGGGAGTGGTGAGGTGTGTTATGAAGCTTTTCTGCTGGAGTTGGCTCCTGGGACTGGTATTTGAAGTTGCCATTCATTGGTCTTCTCTATCTGAACATTATTTTAGGAGGAGGAGGAAACAATTTTTTCACTGGCCATTTCAGTGAACTACACAAACAGCATTGGCTAACTAAGAAAAGACTTCCTGGATATTTTTGTTTGATTTGAACTCATTAATCATCAGGATTTTTTTTTTTTTCACTTCTATTTTCTATTTGAGTTCATTCCAATACTTCCTTTGTGCTATATTTGCATTTTGTTTGCATAAGAAATCTGACATAAGAGTCATGTTTTTCTAAACGAAATGTCAGAATCTGTCCATGACTGCATTTTACCCACCAGCATTTTCAGAGGACTGTATTATATCTCACAGTTGCCTAATACAATGGAGCTCTGATTTGATTTGGTCTTTGTGACTCTGCTGCAGTATTAATTATAATCAACTAGAGCCTTTCACATATACTGGCAGAATTTAGTCCTGACATTATTGCATTTGTCAATATTTTCCTCTTATGGGTCGCTTTATAAACCTAATAAAGAATTGACATAATACACTTAAACTTAGAATGTCTACTTTGCTTTGAAATAAAAGTCTGATGATGATACATGAATCTATATTTGCAGCCCAGATCATCTATATAGTTGACAACTTCCTAATGCAGAAACGGGAACTGCGAGGGGTGTTGGCTCTGCATTAGAGATTTAATATTCCCAGAATCATCCTTATAGACCACATTGGTCATTTCAGTGTCTGATATATCATAGGATGAAGAACAACTTAGCAGTTGGCTTCTAATAGAAATTCACGTTTCCACTAATGAATATGAAGCAAGTTAGTTAACGTTGCCTTTTTAAAATGATAATTTTTAATTCCCCAAACATTTCATTTTCAAGTGATGGCTGGAAACGCTACAAGCTGAGAAGACTCTACTTCATTTGGGTGTGCAGGGATGTTGAATCTTTCCGCTGGTTTGCAGATTTGCTCTGTATGCTGCATGACAAGGTAACGGGTGTTGCTTGGAGGGATGCCAATAATGTAATAAATGCAGGGTATGTCCACACAACACATGTGGCATGCTATAAAGAATACCAGCAAACTTCAGCTCTGCCTAGGCTACCTGGCCTCCATTTGTGCTTGGAGCTGCGTAAACCAGTTTATGTCACACTGGTATTTCATTGCACAGTGTTGCTGGACAGCTTTCTGTTAAATTTATGAAATGGAAGAGGAACATACAGGTTGAGGAGTCTGAGTGGCCTTTTGCCTTTTGGCTTGTAGACGGATTAAGAAGGGAGGGGGATTACAATTTCATGTGGATTTTAAAAGGAATGTGGCCTTCTAAAATAATATTTTGCACACAGCATGATGTGCAACATTCCGTAGTGCACAAAGGGGTGCCATGTAAACACATCTTCATTAAAAAACTTACTTCAGTGATGCTGAAACCTGAGTCCATCAGCATAGTAGGCACAAGTGACTTTATACTTCCTTTAAAGAAGGGATATTATTTCACTAGCTGTTTTTATCATCCTCCCAGCTTTGGCAAGAGAATCGACCAGACTATATAAATATCCAGCTGTACCTCAGTCAAACAGATGGAATACAGGTATGTGGCTAAATGCTGTTTGTAAACCAAACTAGACCTTGGGGTAGCAGACAATGCAAACTGTCAGTCATATGCAAAAGAGAGTTATTGCAGATGTTAAAAACAGGAAATGAGGCCATAAGATCAAGTGATTGATTCATTGCTAGGGCAAGAGAGCAAGTCCATCCCCACCGCATAAAAGAATCTGGTCTAGTATCCTTAACTTGATTATATGTGGGCAGAAATCCATATCTTCTTTTTCTAGGAAAGAGGTCCTTCCAGGCCAGGCCACAGACCAGACAGTTGGCAGGGTTTGATGGGAAATCTGCATCATTGCTGGGCTAAGAATCAAAACAGGATAGTTGTAGCAGCATGCAAGCTCAAATCTTCCTTTAAAACAAATATTTTGAGAGAAGATGGCTATTTTTAAAAGCTCTGGATTTTTTTTTTGTTTGCCTGAAATATCAAAAAAAGTTAGAAAGTGCTTGATGTATGAGACTGTAAGTTAACTGCCAGTTGTTGTATATTGTCAGCCTCAAAAATGTTCTCTTTCCTCAGCTCCTGGAATCTCCTCCCACAGATATAGATGCTTATGATATTCATTTTACATTATTTAGCATGTAAACCTAGGCCTGATTCTTTACCCAGCTGCCTCTGGAAGCTTTACCATTCACTGCAGTGGGCCCAGGACCAAGCCTAACAACTACTACAAAATGTGAAATGCAGTGAGAAACCATGCCCAAAGGATTTTGATCTGCGTGGTATCAGGTAGAGACAGCATAACATTCCCAGCTCTGGTAGGAATGCTATCCAGTATTCTAGATGATGTGATAGCTACAGCAGTTATGAACAGTGCTCCACAGCTTTAATGCCTGGATGACATATGTCATTTTGAATGGTGTGCTTGAAAATATCTAATTGTGAACCTGTTGTGGTTAAAATTTTAACCTGGTTAGGTTAAAAATGAAACTTGAAGCAGGATTGCATTGCAATGACACAGCAAGATTGTAATGACAGCCAATTCAAAGCAAGTTTTCTGATCCTGTGTATCAAGCAGCTACTGAATTTATTATTTAAGTCAACTTTGTTTTAAGTCTTTCTTTAAAGTCACTTTTCTTTTGTGGCTGTTGAACAAAGCTGGCATGAACTACAATGCTGATGATGATTTCTCAAAGGGGGTGTTAAACTCAACTCTCCATTGCCTTACAGCTTATGTGTTCACTGATGTCAGTCCAAGTGCTGACTGCTACCAAAATTAGGGCAGTTTCTCTTTGTGCTCCCTTTGCTTGGGAGCAGTATGCTTTTGTGACAACAGGGAGTCAATCCCTTCCTTCAGCAAATGCCTCTTGAATATAAAAGGCCAGGGGAGAGGATGAGTTGGCTAAGGCTCTGTGTTTGCATTAGTATGAGCCATGTTTCAGATCATTCCACAGCAGAGGGAATGTGGGATGCTAAAGATGTAATTCCTCTCTGCCTTCCTGTTGTGTTAGGACACAAGAACCAAGGAAAGGTAATGGCCCTGCAGTGGAAGGGCATTTGACCTTATAAAATTGCTGGTGAGTTAGCATTGCTGCAGTGGGTTGGGTTCCATCTGGGGACCAGTTTTGGCTGCTTTCTGCTGTTGAGGCAGCACAAAGCAGCTGGCAAACTACTCTCAGGGAGAAATGTAAGATTTCCCTTGTTACTTTTTCAGGCCTAGTCATCTTAATAGTACCTTGTACGTAATCGAAAAAAAATTCTTCAGACAGAAATATGATTTTTGCATCAGCAGTGTTTCTTCCAGCTAAGCATTAAAGGCCAATGAGGGAATGAATAATAGGAGCGTAGTTATTGTTTTATGGCTTAAATAAATTGGTTTAAAAGTAATGGGGAGATTAATGAGCAGCTGCAAGAGGAACAATGTATAATAAACACCAAGGAGAGCCATTGAAAAAGGCAGTGAGCAGAGGTATTGATGTATGAAATGGCTTCAGTTTTAATCACAACTGTCTGATACTTGGGCTTGGGTTTTATACCTCAGCGATATGGTAAGTCAAGCAATGTCAGAAATGGGAGCCCTGGGTGATGTGAGACAATCTGCAAATCAGGCAGCTTGCAGTTTTTTGTTTCTTGCAGAAAATAATTGGTGAGAAATATCAAGCCCTAAACTCAAGGCTTTTGATTGGACGACCCCGGTGGAAGCTCCTCTTCGATGAAATAGCAAAGTGTAACAGGCGGTGAGTACCGGTCTGCTAGAGGGATAGTTGTAGCCACTGTTTGAGGGATGGGGATATTAGGTCTTCGCAGCTCTGTGTTGTATGAAAATGTTCTTAGAGTTCTATCTTGGACTCCAATGTTCAAGCTACTGATGTTGAAATTAGCTGGTATTTTGCTCTGAGAGATAGCCTGCACAAACTCAAACATTAAAAAAAAACAACAAAAAACTCAGCATAGTTCATCTTTTCATGCAGCTTAGGATGTTCAGTGGCCCAGAAAGTGAAAGTAATAGATTTTCATCTCACTGCACTGGGATTGCATGTGTTTTTATCCATTGCAGTATCTTGCTTGCAACATAGTCTGTTTCTATATATAAAGCTGCAGGTTTTTAAAGTCACTGACTTGTCATATAATTTTAATGATTTATTGTACTGGATTACAACAAATAAATTGCATAAGGAAGAATCTGGCTGTCCTATATTGTTTTTATTCAGAGGATATATTGTCTTCAGAGATTCCTGGCACTTTTTATTCTTTGTTAAGCCCTGGCAATGCCTTTTTACTGTGCTAGGCGAACATACTATGGTCTAAAACAAGACAGTTGTAAAACAGAAGGCATGCAATTAGACTATGGAATGTTTTTTTCCAGATCCAGCTTTGTTGGTTGGTTATATTACACCCTACTGGCAGTGTCCTGACTTAAAAGCTGATGTAGTAGACAGGATTGTGTGAGTCTTCCCTAATCTGCTTCTGGCAAAGTCAGTAGGGTCAGAGCCTCAAGCCACCCGCAGTATCTTTTGAAGGTAATCTGTCTGCACCAGACTGAGAGGTGCTCTCACGATCCTTTTCACCTACAGACCTTTCCCTCAAAATGTTTTTTGTCTTCTATTTCACTTGTGAACTGTTGCCCATGGCTTATTCTCCAGTCTTCTGGAGCTGAATATGACTAGGGGATTTGGAGCCCTGTATCTTAAGAAATACTGAGCACCACTGTGTATCACTGTTGGCAGTGTAAGCTGCTGCAGCCATGTATCTTGTGTTCAGGTCTTAGAGGATGTTGTGGAAAGGATACCCCAAAGGCTGCTGCAGAGTAAACGAATACTACTTCAAGAAGGGCAGTAGTAAAGAGCCATGGGAAAGACGGGGAGATAGGGAGGGCAGAGAAGCAAGTTGACTCTGGCTCAGGCTCCTGCACAGAGGTCTGCTAACCTCTTTTTGCTCCATTCTAATGTGTTTTTTTTTTTGCTTAACTGTGTGAATCCAGTTTCAAAAGATGAAAATCATAAGGCTTCTGCCACTTCCTTGCAAGGCTGCAAGTGCACATAATACAGATGAAGCTATTAGTGGCAGTCATGCTTGCTTTTTCCTTTGCGCTTTCCATTGCATTATGCCTAATTAGACCTTCAAGTGCCATTTCCTCTGCATTTTCACGCCAGGTCTTTAAATTATACCACCATTTCCAAGCAAGGTGTCTCTTATTACCTAAATAATTCTCTGCCTCTTTTTCACCATCCTGCAGCTTGCTAAGATGTAGGCTTTCTTAACATTTGTCACCCCTTATCACAATATATAGATATAGGTCTGTTTCTATAGGTGTAGTTACGTGTAACATGATAAACAGTAGTGCAACCTGTAAATCAACTATATCACAGAAACATGGATATCATAGATGAATATTCTGTTCCCTGGACAAGACAGAAACTTCAGTTTTTCTCTGTAGTCTAATTCCTGGTCTCCTGCTAACTTTATCTCAGTTCTTATTTCTGAGTAACTTTCTACCTAAATAACCCTGCTGCAATATGGAGACCAAAAAAAGAGCTGGGCAACCAAGTTTTTTTCCAACATCTGGTGCCAGCGTTCAGATGTTCACATGTATTTCAAATCATCCCCTTGGGCTTGTTTTTGGCCAGCCAAGAAGCCTATATATTTTCCATTTTTTATCTTGTGACTTCAGTCAAAGCTGTGCATAAGTAAACACACATCTGGCAAACCTCTCATCAGTTCAGCCATCTGATTGGTTTGTGGTTTGTGAATTGTTGCTCTTGTTGCTGCTTGGGTCCCAAATAGCCAAAGTGCATTTGTAAGTGTCTGAGCTTTGCCAGAGCTTCAGAGTATGACATGGGACAACCCGGCCTCAGGCTCCTAACTCTTCCCTCCAAACTGAGTGGAGCAGACGCATGCCATCTACTGTTGATATTTTATATGACACCTGCAGTCTCAGGGATGTGCACTATGATGGTTTATGTAATAAATTATTGGTCTTGTTTTTCGTGCTGTCTTTTTGGGGACAGAGCAGCAGCCTTGTTTCTGCTCAGTTGTGTCCTGAGTGAAAAGCTTACACCATGCTGTTGCAGAAATGCTTTCTCAGTTTTGCTTTGTTCAAATAGCTGCATTTTTCCACATGGGAGACTGACCTAGAAAAAGACATGAATATCTGTAGGAGAGGAAGGCGTGGAGTACCATGACACATATCCCATGCTTTGTAAAGGAGATACTCTCTCTCTAGGAATGGATGTGGGATTTAAAACTGGAATATTTCAAGTCTTGAGTCTGTCCTCTCTAGGTCGCAAAATATTTCAGCTCTCCCTCAGCTCCCACTGTTCAAAAAACAGATGTAAGAATACTGCGGACCTACTCATCCAATAGGAACATTAAGAAGTCTTGAAAGGGTAGTTATTTATGTAGCGCTTTGAGTGAATAAAATCCTATATTAATAATTATTCCAAAGAGGGGCCTATAACACTACTTCCCCGATTGTAAACATGCTAGTGGTATTTAAAAGATTTTCAGACATTATGTCCCAGCAACACCGTGCTGTTTTCCTCTGGGCAACCAGGTAAATCATCGACCCAAACAAGTGATAGGCAATTAAATCCCATCAGCTTGGGGCAGTAGCGTACTGCTCCATGCAGGAGCTGCTTTCAGCTCCCTGCCTGCTTGTGTCACAGCCTGTGCTGCAGCAAACCAGGCAGGAAGAAAGTATCTGCAAGCAGGGAAGTGGTGGGCGTAGGTGGGGGAGGACATGTGGGGTGAATTGTGGGAGGTAAGTAGTACGCAGCATAATATTCAGCTGCTGATGCTGGGTATCTGTAGGAAGAAGACTTGAGAACCTCTGGCTCACTGTATGGGGCAATGCCAGGAGCTCTTCCAAGTCAGCCACAAACCTCTTATGACACCTTAGGCAAAGCACTTTACCTTTTGGTGATTTTGTTTACTGCCCAAAAATTCTCTGAACCTTGGAAGGTTGTTGCTAGGATGGGGGGTACATTAGCAGTATGTGCAGCTTGGATATGCCTGTGCTTAGGAGGTGTGTACATACATACATACATATATATATATATATAATGAGAAGGAGAGAGATAGATAATCTCTGTTTTTTATTTAGCAGTTGTCTATACGAGTTAGACTGATGAAAGCAATAACATTAATTCCATCAATTAAATGTGCAGTAGAAAACATTCTTGCTGCCAGCTTACATACCCTTTTTTTCCTCTGCACAGAGCAGAGGATGTTCAGATTCTGCAAGTGCTGAGAAATCGTGTTTGAGAGCAACAAGCAATAGTGTGCTCATTATTTCTGCCAATCCAGCCACCAACGCAACACCCTTTGCCATTAAGAGGAGTTCTGCCAGGGCATGAAAGTTTAATAGATATACATAAAAATGAGAAAAGTGTGAGTTATGAATATCTGACGTGGATTGATATAAGAGATGATGTAATATATGTCAATTAAAATGTCAGCATTGTGAGGTGCCTGCACAAGGACACGGTTGCACTTACCTCTGTAACTTTGTGATGCCTTTTGATGTTTTGATGAGTCCTCAGGTGTGCCATGCCAGTGTTTGTGTCCAGTTGTATACCATGGGCTGCCATGCTGTTTGCACTGCTGTTTGACATCAGTGACATACACTTGGCAGTATGCATCAAAGATTTATGTTTACAGGCATTAGTTCCCTTTTTCACCAAACATATACACAGGCAGCTTTAAACTGTGCATTTGAGTATCTTCGTGTGCTAAGATACTTTGTGTTAAATAGTCACTGGATAAAATACTGAAACAGTCCTAGAGGCAAGGACCAGAACTCAAAGTCTCCAGCCTCCTGGTGAGTGCTGTAAATGATAATAGTTAGAGCCATGTTCCCCTTTATGTTCTCTCTCCATCCCACTAATTCTTTTAAGATTTTTCTGTGCAGTGGCACAATTTCAGCAGGAAGATGAAGAATTTTTTTTTTAAATAATATATAAGAGACAGCACCACATCCTCTTTTCTTGCTCCTTCCTTACTCTTCTCCTCATTTTTCAAGGGAAGGGAGATGATGAATATCATGAGTGGCTCAGCTCTGCTGTTGTGTATTTGCCCTGTTCTACCGCTGGTTATTGCCCAGAGTCTTTAGATGCTGTGTGACCATGAGTCTGACATAAAGCTTGTGTTTAAGGTGATCAGAGTGCAAAGTGGTGCTGTCAGTGGAGTTGTTGTAATGGATCTGGCCTGATAGCTATGGATACAATGATCTTTTTCTGTGTTTAGCTTTTCACAAGATTTTCTAATACAGCTACTGGAGGAAAGATTGCATGCTAATGTGAAACTAATGTAGTAAAGTTGTTCTGCTGCTGCCAGAAATAATCGTGGGTTAGTAGTGCTCTGTTTTCATTGTTGTAACAAATCTCTGTTAGTGACTTGATCTCCTACTGGTGTAAATCAAAAGTTACACTAATAAAGTTGTTAGAGTAGGACACATTTTTTTAACTCCCCCCCCCCCCCAAAAAAAAAAAAAAAAAGTGATTAATTAGCAGTTTCTCCTTGCTTGGTATCTTGAGACTAAGATGAGGTTCTTTTTTGCAAGAGTCGTCTTAGTCAAGTAAGTAACAGGATGTGATGCGGGGATAGATGGGAGAGATCTAGTGGCTTCTGTAATACCAGCTAAATGACCTAATGAGTTGTTCTCACCCTAAAATCTGTACATAGTTGGCACTTCTATAATACTATGAAAGCAGAACCCAATTCTGTCAATTGTTAGAAGTTAGCGTTCATTCGCAATGTCATAACTTATTTTATTTTCTCTTTCAGGAAGACCATTGGAGTTTTCTGTTGTGGACCAAACAAAATCTCTAAGATACTTCATAAACTGAGCAACAGCAGCAACTCTTATGGGACAAGGTTTGAGTATAATAAGGAATCCTTCAGCTGAAAGTCTGTTGGACTAGCAAGAGTCTCTAGAAGATAAAAGTGCAATTTTTTGTTTGTACAACTTAAAAGTTCAGCTGTGGTTTAAACAGACAGAAATGTACCAAAGAATAGCACAGTTTTTCTTATTTATGATTATTTAAGAGTCTGGAAAATGATGGACATGGCAGTATACCAACAAATAATAAGTGCTTATGCTCAAAGCCAAATGTGCTCACACAATATTTGTGGCAGCAGTGATTCTTTGGAGTTGTTTCTGTTAATTGAAAAGTACAAACACTGGGGAGAGACACAGTTGCTTTAAAAGCCAATGGAAGGACAATCTGTGGAATGTTCTTCCACTTCAACCCTCTGAAGTTGGATCAGTAAATTAAACCCCAGGTTAATCCAAATGGCAAAACATAGTGCATTTCAAAGACCTATTGCTTTTGTTGGTATACAAACCTTATGGCTTTGGGGTGAGACGCTCCATACTACAGGTTTTATGCATTGCGGAATTGAGATTCTGTATTTCAAATATACAGTGTTACTCTAGTCTGCTTCTGTCATGGGTGTCAGTATTCCCACCTTGAATGGAAGAAAGGGAGGAATTTAGGCACATCAATTCAGCATTCAGCAGTTTGCAAAATAAGTGTGATTTGTGCAGCCAGAAATATGGGGCAAAAAAGTAATTAATGGGAGGACATGATGTTTTAGTATACCACATGCTCAACATGGAAGTAGCACTCACTTTACACTCACATGCCCTGAATGTCAAATACTTATTAAAACATTCAGATGTTCTTACTGATTAATTTCCAATGAAGCAGGTTGAAAACCAGTTTTGGAAGCTGCAGATTGTCTTTGGTTGACTGTGATCCTTGGATTACCATCACTGGAGTTGGGCTTGTTTATTCAGTCACACTGGTGGCCCTAAAAGCAGGATCAGGCCAGATCTACAGCAGAGTAGGAGTGAGGCCTTCATTTCTGTGGCTCTTGACATCTTGTGTGCAGATCAAAACTTCTCAGAGTCATAGAATGGCTCAGTTTGGAAAGGTCCTTAAATACCATCTAACTCCAACTTCCATGCCACAGGGAGGGACACCACCCACTAGATCAGGTTGCTCAGGGCCTCATCTAACCTGGCCTTGAACACCTCCAGGGATGGGGCATCCACAGCTTCTCTGGGCAACCTGTGCCAGGGCCTTACCACCCTCTGACTGAAGAATTTCCTGCTAACCTCTTAGCTAAATCTCCTCTCTTTACATTTAAAACCATTGCCCCTTGTCTTGTCATTATTTGATTTAGCAAAGAGTCACTCTCCATCTTTTTTATAAGCCTCCTTTAAGTACTGAAATGCCACAATGAGGTCAGCCCAGAGCCTTCTCTTCTTTAGGCTGAACAGCCCCAGCTCTGTATTGTATTTTCAGTATGTTCCATAGGGGAGGATCTGAAACATTCAAACATAAGTTCTTCTTCCCTGTCCTTATTACAGCTGTTTTCCTGACTGCTGATAGGTGCCAAGGAAAGGCTAGGGGTTGAAACAAGCACTTGAAAACTTTTTGGTTCTGAGAAGCAATATTTTGTTCCCTCATTTAAATAGCCAATCCAATTTCCTTTATTTTCTCTTTACTCTTTTTATGTTATTTTGCTGAGAAGGGGACATTTAGGCTTGAGCCAGATACTTAGCTGGCATTAACAGGAATCATTCTACTGCATCTGAGTACAACAGCACTGCTTTACACTTGCTGAAAACCTGGCCCTTCATCTTCAGCAGAAGCTTGGAAACAAAGCCTGTAGCATCTGCAGAATAAGCTCGTGTAAAATAGCTCATCATCTCTCATACCTCTGGTTCACCTGTATTTAGAACAGTGCATTTGATTCAGTTTACTGCTTTCCAATGAATGCATTTTTCATTTCAGTAGGAAAGACTTACTAATTTTCACCTCACAGCACAAGCTCTGTATCAGTATCAGTGTTCAGAGGAAAGCATTTTTCTGGTAGGTGGTATATTGGCATGTTGTAAGTGTAACTAGTGAAGATGAGTTTGATCTTTGCCTTGGCAGCTTCTGCTGTGGAGTTGCCCCAAGTGCAGCAGCAAAGCCCCACTGGGATGTGTTTCTTAGTGCCTGGACTTTGCAGGAAGTTCCTGCCTCTGGCTCTGCCCAATTTGAAATTCAGAGGGGAAAGAAAGAGCCAGAGATGGACTTATTCCTACTGATGAGAATTCTCAAAGTAGCCTAGAGGAGACAGAAGCCAAAATAGAAATGCAGTGTGAGATTGGAGCCTACATTGCAGCTACTGATTTTTTTTTTTTTTTTGAGGCTGGAAGGATCATTATTTTCCTATTGGATCTCCTTCATCTGTCCCTGTAAAACTGGAGGTATGCAGAAAAGTGTCAGATCCTTTTTAATCACTAATATTTCTAATAGTGCCTGCATGGATTTCATAATAAGCATAACACTGATGGCAACATGCATAAATGTCAGGTATTGCCTGCACTGTCAGCTTTTGTGTTTGTTTGCAGTTAGCTTAAAGCATGACTGCAATCATGACTGCATCTGTTAACTACAACCACACAGTGATCATTTTCCTCTCGTTTTAGGATCTAGTGTCTAATGATTTTTAAATACAGTGTAGAGTCATCTAATCACGATGTTCTTTGTGGATTCACATCTCCTCTCTGATAGATATCGGTTCCATTACTGTATAATGAGCAGCTAGTTTTGTAGTTGGTTCTGTGCTAAAACAGATGATATTTTCTGGCTCAGCTCTTACATAGGTAGTATTTTATAATTAATAATAATAGTCCTGTGCTCTTGCTCTGAATACTAGCAGGAGCTGACACTGTGGAGGAATGTTATCTCCTGTCGTTACATGCTGTCAGAGCAAGATGCAGGCAGAGGCACACTCTCCTCTTTCTGCCTCTGTCCTATGCCAACCTCAGCTGACCTACTTGTAAAACAGGCTGGGGACTGTCTACCTGTCTGGAGTGTTGTGAGGCGTAATTAATGTTTTTGGGATCACTTCAGTGCACCTGCAGTGAAAAGGTCTGTGTAATTGCTATTCAACAGTGTTTGTGTTTTATTTTCGTAAAGCTTTGTTTGACTGAGCCTTTCTGTTGCTTGTGTGAGTATTGCTAGACCGGATAAGTGTGGATTTGGGGAAAGGTTAAAAGCTTCAGTTGCTCTTTTCCTTTTCTTTGTGCTGTGCTTTTTAGAGGAGCAGAAAGTTTAAGGGTTAGTGACTGTGACTTGGTTTCAGGAATGGCAAATGTTACTGATAAAGGCAGTCGGGCTGCATTCTCCTTGCTGCTTTTTCATGTGTCACTAGCTTGCAAAACTGAGCTGAGCTTGCTTTTAAACTATGCAGTGTTTCTCTCTGTAAGCCAAGCGTACATGAAAATATTAACTTGGTGCCAGACAAGTAAGTGAAGGCTGACAGCACTTAATTCCACGTTCACAGATCAACCGGATTTACGTAATTGAATGTCTCTTTACGCATTAAACTGAGTCGTGGAAGTGAGTTTGTCATAAGCTTCTTGCTGGCAGGGGAAGGATTCCACCCTGTGTTATGCCACTTCTTGTTTAGTTGTCCCAAATCTTCAGACCACTCATTGGGTCTTTGTGTTTTATTCATCATAAATGTTTCATGATTCATAAATGTTTATTTAAAACAGGAGGGTTTCATGCCATGATTGAAGCCAAACCCTTTCTCTGCAAGGAGAGTCCAGCCCTCTCATACAACAGTATGAAACCTTTACACAGCTAACAGCTGAATAGTGAGTCAGATTTACTCGAGCAATCCTGTTCTCACAGCACGGAGATTACTTGTCTGAGTAAATGTTCACTGCCCTAGTGAAGGGCTGCAGAGGTGAGCCCTGATGGAGCGTGGGAAGGCCTGATGGGGAGTGATCTTCACCTCCAAGGTCTGAAGGCCAGTCCTTCTCTCTCCATGATGATTATTCCAGCAATTTGGAGTGGCACTTTGCCTAACATACCCTGTTTCTGCATATAGTACTGAGTGCATGAAAAGTCTTCCTTGGTCTTTTATCTCTTCTATGGGATGTTAGCTTTTATGCTCTTCTAAGGGATGGCACTAAAAGGAATATGAGAGAGACCCCTACATGCAACCTTGAACCTGGGCTAGGATGAGGAGACCAGGGTATAACACAGCCTCTTAGCTGATGACTGTGATGACCTGGTAGAAAGTTTAAGCGAAATATGCTTTTCTGCAAAATGCTGTTTGTTTTGCCACAACAAACTAGAGAACAATTGCTGTTAAGGGAAAGGAGATAAGCCCTCTTTCTGTTTGAAGACTCCTGCCCACGTGAGCCTGATGGGATGGAAGATGCGTATGAAAGCACTGCACACATTCAGCTTCTACTAGCACTGCGGTGTGCACACACTGCATCGCTGTCACGGGCTTACTACCTCAGCACTCAGCCCCCAGCATTATTCTTGTCTGCAGATCTTCACCTGTCTTGTTGCTAGATGTGTCTTGCAGGTGAGAGAGGTACTGCATATGCTTGCATGCATGCAGAGTCTGATACAAGCACAGATCAACCTGTGAGCATGTTGTGCAGCCAATACAAACAGGTGCAGAATTGTCCCTTTGCCCCTAATGCTTCTCGCACATAGGTGAGAAAGAGATTTGGAGCTGGCTGAGAAGGGGTAAATAATCTGAGTGGTAGCCTGGCCCCTTGGGACATAGTAATTCGGCTGTAAAAAAACTAAAAAATCAGAGAAGCAATGGTTTGGTAAGAAATTTGTTTTTAGAGCAGAAGCCTAAGAGAAAAGCCTCTACACAACACTAACACGCTAGGTTATAGTTTCAAACTCTAAGCCATTGCTTAGAGAAGCCAGCAGGAGGCTAACTAGTCATTGCCAGTAGGAGCCTGAGCCCCTTAAGTCAGAGCAGACACAAAGTTATTAAAATGCAATGTTTACTTGTTTAAAAAATAAAAGGGCTTCTAGGGAGATTAATTTTCACTTCAGCCTGGCAATCATTTCATAAACATGCCAGTGTGATTTAAGACAAGCTGGATCTGTTCTTCTCTGGATTATGCAGAGAAGATTTGTCTGCAAAATTCCCACCCCTCACAAATAAAAGCAGTTTTATTGTTTTAACAAAGATGATTTAACAGCAAAGTTTAATCAAAATGCCACTGGCGCTTGTGCTGAACTGAGCTTTTCTGTAATGAATGTACATTTATCAGGGATATATAGAATACAGCTGAGGTCTCAACTTTGAATGGTGATTTGGGGTTTGAGTCATTTCTGCTGCTGGTGTATTTCATTAAAGCCACTGTGATGGTGCACTAGTGGATACATACATGGAGCTGAAATGAGACTTTTGAAATTCCCATGAAGAACCTGTTCCTTAACTAAGCACACTAAATCCCAGAAGTCTGGAATTTCCTTCATAGGTACAGGAGATTGTTTAGCCAGCATCATTAAGGTTGAACCCTGAGTCCTCTGCTAGACTCACAAATAGTAATGAATGCTCTTAGAAAAGGTTTTGAGCAACAAATGCTTCTTCAAGAGCTGGCTGAACATTTGTAAAGGTTTAGTATTCTGCTAGCTGTATCACACATGTTGTAAGCGACATGGGGATCTGTTTTGGTCCCGTGGAAATGCTGTGCACTTCCTCTGAAGGTTATGAATAGCTCCAAACTTGCAGTGGACGCTCAAGGTTTGTAGTGTAGCATTATATTCTCCAGAATGATTGTGTTTGTATGCTGTACAAACAGCAAAAGATCTCCCATTATTTGGAGGATACAGGGAGAAAGCTGGTGGAAGAGACTCATCCCAATTGAAGGTTGTCTCTTAACAGAACCCTTGGGTTTCTGAGGGTGTCAGACCTTACAAAAATGCTAAGAATATTCCAACTGCTCTTTCTGCTTTTTTTTTTTTTTTTTTTTCCTGCCTGTCCAGCGTCCTGAAATCTGCACCATCCTCCTAATGATCTGCACTGTCACACCAGGAGGGGGAAGTCATGAGTAGCTCCTGAAGCTTCAGGAGAATTGCTGTCAACAGAGGAGCAAACCAAGGAGGGCAGGAGAGGATGATAAATTCCAGCACTGAACAGTCTGAAATATTTAGAACCTGGAAGTAAAAGGGAAGGAGAGAGTCATTCTTCCTGGCTCCTAAATTCCAGACAGTGAAAGCAAACCCCATTGCCTGATGTGAATGCAAAGTCTCCCTGGGATTTGAGAACTAATGTATGCAGAGATAGCCTTTCAGTGCACAACTCAAAGCTAAGCACAGAAGTAAACTAGTATATTTTAGTAAATGCCTTCAAAATAAGTAATTTTTGAAATAAATCTATCATTGTCACTCTCTAGTTAACCTGTTTCAAGAGCTACCTATTTCTGTTTTGCAGCTTTTGGGTTGGGTATGGCTTTTTGTGTTAACTCCTTTTCACCAAATTCCTAGAGTATATAGTTCTCCATGCTAGCTGTCAGTAGCCTTAACAGTTTAATAAATACATTTTGTGTTTGTTGCTGCTGTGACCCTAGGTACAGACAGCCTTGAAGATGCGAAGCAGTGTTACATAAATGTGTAGTGTACATAGCAACACTGAGAAGAGGGATGCTGCTGCATTGCTTTTGGTGCACCAGTCACACATTAAAATTCTGTCATTGCAAGGTCGTGTTGCTTGTCTCATACTCTACAACCCTGGGGAAGAAATTTGGAGGACAGGTGGGGAAGGAAGATCGAAAACTTCTTCCTTGTGCTGTAGCCAATAATATATTCATCGACAGCAAGGCATTTCTGTCTGTTTCCAAAGAGCCTGTCATTTCTTTTTCAGGGATAAAGGATTTTCTGCTGGTGCTGAGTAGTGGTGTTTGCATGTTATAAATGTAGCACAGTGATAATGTGTCGCTTCTGAACTGAATAAATAACACCTCTGAGCCCTTTCTTCTCCCTTAAATAATCTAGGAGAAATGCAAAATACCAGAGAGCATGCAGAGTGGACTGTGTCCTGAGCTGCTCTCAGTGCAGCCAGGTTAGCAGTGCTGCACAGAAACCCTGCAAGCTGCTGGGAAGAAGGAAACGAGGTTTGGGCAAAGAAGATAACAACTCTTTAAGGAGAAGCACTACAGTGATACATGATCTGTAGCCAGAAAGAGGCCATGTTGCAACGTTGACTGTCACATCTGTGCATGGTGCTGAGTCAGAGCCTACCTTAAAAGTACACTTAGCATCGGGGAGAGTTGAGGGCTCTCAGACTGTGTCTGCAGTGAGATGAAAACAGTTTTTAATGCAGCTGGGTTAGCCACCTGTGTGCAGTGTCCAGCTTGCAGCCTGGACTTGTCATACCTGAGGGCAAACTCCATAGATGATGAGTTGGTCTCAGACACGAGTGCAGTCTCAGATGCCTGGCTAACTGAGGGTATGGACACACCCTTTGTATTTCTCTGGCTCTGAAAAAGCAAGTTGCTCAGTGACTGGGGAGCAGGGAGTTATCATTAGGGGTCAGATGCTCAAAAACATGTACTTTCCTAGTAAATGCAACAGCCTGAACAGGTAAGGATGATGAGTGCCAATTTCCATCAGTAAATGTATATAACCCACCCATATTTGTACTAGTGTTCACAGGGAACAAAGAGAGAATTCTGCAGAGAAGGTACAAGTGCCATGTTTTTCCTTTGTTGTGTCAGAACAACATAATTAGCTGATGAAAAAAAATCAAAATTAATAGGAAGATTCACCCATGGCATTCTTTTTGATTGCTTGAGCACTTGTAATTGGTCAACTCATGCTTTTTGAGAGAAACTTAATAAACATAATGCCCTAAAGGAAAGATAAAAAATGTGGCTTAGATGCAGTATGGCAAAGGGTCTCCACCCGACAGTGAAGTATCATTGTCTGTTGGAGCTGGAGGCATTGGTGCTTTCATTAATCTCAGCCTTTTCCCACTCTGTGAAAGCTGAGCTTTCAGCTCCATCTTTTTCTCTCTGCATACCTCCATTCTGTGTATGGCGTAGTGCTCTCACCTCTGGATTACTGGAAACAAACTCATCTGTATGTCATATAATCACAGAATCACAAAATGGTTTGGGTTGGAAGGGACATTTAAAGATCATCCAGTGTCTTCCTTTTCTGCTGTCACTTCCCTGCCTCAACAGCACGTGTTGTGTCTAAGAGGCTTCTCCCATCCTGTGCGTCTCTTAACTCAGGAAAATTCTACTGTGAAAAATGCTGAGATTGGTTTAGTCTTAGCCATAGTCATGACCATAGTCACTAGCCTTTGTAACTCTTATAACGTACCTGATCACGGAGGGTCTTCTAGCTTTAGGTAAGTGATGGGATGCAGGATCCTAAACCTGAAGATACTTTTTTAGAATGGGAAGAGAGGCAGTGCCACAACAATGGGAAAACAGAAAATGGGAAAAACACATAATAACAAAGATTATATCATCTGGTGTATGAGCAACAGGAACCCATCTGGTGAAATTCAGATCGTTTGTGGCCATCCCTGACATGTTTCTGCTTTCACACATAGGCGTTGCAGGACAGTGGGCAGTGATGGAAGTGGTTGCTTCTTACAATGACATCCTCTATCTCCATACAGCTCCTAGTTTATCAACTGCATATAAATTCCTTCTTTCACTGATTAAATGTTTCCTCACCTGGTTCCTTTGCTTCAGGGAGCCTGAGAGCTCATTGTTTATAAAGAGAGAGAAGAAGGATTGTGCTGTTAAGCAGACCACTCCCAACACATACGTTCTGCTCTGCATCCTTGAGGAGGCACTGATGCTGCTGCAGCTGCAGAAGGGCAGAGCTTTACTGAGATTCAGAGGCAACAAAGAGCTTCTTCCAGGATTCTTGTGTTGTTAAAGCTCTCGGCTTACTAACTGTTTTTTTTTTCCTTTAGTTTTAATTAGCTTTAGCGCACCAGTGCTAGGCTGCGAGACCCTTAATCCTACTGAGCTTTTCCCTCCCCATGTTCCTTCCAGTCACTTGCAAGAGCAAATTTGATGAAGTTCATGTGGGTTAGGAAAGGTTTCCTTGGTCTGTGAGAATTTAGGAGAAAAGTCATAACTGTGACATTTTTATTCAAACTGAGATATATAGATAGGGCCAGCTATATTTATTTCATAATGTGCATATGTTCTTGTGCATGGATTTCTTTAAGATTCTATGATTTTACAATATTTATATACTATTTTCAGAATTTTCAGAACAAAAAAATCCACCGACGGTTTGCTTAGGAAATGTCAGCATGTCCCAAACATCTCTATTTATTAAAAAAAAAAAAAAAGAAAAAAGATTCTTTGAAGTTTCTTTGAGGAGGAGAAATTTCTGGAAAACAGCACACACCACATTCAGATGCAGCAAACTATTATTTTCTAATGGCAAAACATTCTTTGTGTTTTTTTGTTTTGTTTTGTTTTGTGTGTGTGTGTGTGTGGCTTTTTTTTTTTCTTCCCAGCCTTCACTGATGAAAAGTACTGTTCAAACTACACAAGGCACTACCACAATCTGAGCATAGATAAGCGAATGCCTTTTAAAGCAAAGCACCTTTAGTAATTTGTCTGTCTGACCCCTCAGGATGGTATTTGTGACACATTTAGAGCTGGGCTGCCCTATAACTTGAGCCCAGGTATGAGCAGGCTGCTGGGGGCTTGCTGGACTTGTTGGCACCCACCAGACCTCCTGGGAGAGACACGTGCTGAGGGCAGGCAGCGTGTTGGGCATTGTCTTCAGCCACAGGTTACCTCGTAATGGCTTGTGAGTTGATGAGGATATAGAGTTATAGAAAGGAGGAAGACAATTTCAATCTCACTTCAGATACTTTGGGACTCAGAAGATGTGGAAGAGCTTAACGTGGCTAGTGTCCAAGAGCTGGGGTGCACTGATACAAGACTGGGGTGTCCTGTGGAGACCTTGGCCTGTGGTCCCACTGTTAAATGACTTCAGTGGACGAGTTTGCTACATGGATAGAAAATAATTAACCACAATCCAGTCTTGGGAAGGACTGACTTTAGATGAAAATATCTACATCACTAAAATTTGGAAAAGGCAATAAATAACATTCAACTTCCCAATGTTTTCCTTTTAGGAAAGGAAAACTGTTTCACTACGGACCATATTCTTACCTTATTCTTATGCAGTCTCTTCCCTGTCCCAAAAGCAAGAGGCCAGAAAATTTGTCCTGAATTTCCAATTCTGTAATTATTTAATTTTCCTACTAGAGCTGAATTAGAAAGAAAGTATTAAAAAGGAAGGTGACATTTACTTCTTTATCTGTATACAATGTGCAAGATAACCATTTTGGAAAGTAAATAAATAAATGTCCATGCTTTTAAGGATTCAGTGTTCTTTTCAGAGATCCCTGTTTACATTAATGCAATTTCAATCTGTTCATATGTTTTTACAGATCAGGATGTGGTATGATTCTTTGAAGGGTAATGACTGCTTAGTTTCCAAGCGGAACAGAAAGCAAAATTTGGTCCTGAACTTTAATTTACATTTTTTCCCCCAGGCTTGGCTTTAAGAACAAGAGTAGTACTTAGAGGGTTCCTGCCAATAGCAAGTCATACTCTTGTCATATGAAATACCCCGTTTTGTAGCTTCAGTTTGCTGCCCCCCAGCAAGACACAGGACCTGTGTTTCACTGGCTGGAAGCATTTAAATAAGTCTCTACTATGAGCGCGTGCCTAGTAGACCTTCTTGTAAGAGTAAGCAATAAGATTTTTGATTCTATGTGTCCCCATCAAATGAAGTAAAACGTTTACCAGTTAGATGTATAACAAGGCACAGGTACAAAGTTGATCATAAAAAGTCTTGTTTGTTTTGTTTTGTTTTGTTATTATTCTCTCATTTTTCTGAGTCATGGAGAAATCTTTTCCCTTAGTGCTCCTTTCTTAATTACACAGTTTTGTGAAGGCAGGTGCAAACTATTGGCTAAAGAAGAGATAAGACAGGGAGGAATCCAGGACTCTATCTGATGTTCTTGTAGAGTTAACTTACAAACCAACCACTCTTCTTTGATTTTCAGAAACATGAGGAATCCAAATTCTCTGAAGTTTTGATACCCAGATGCATTAAAATCTCATGTTTTGTTTGCCACGTCACACTTGACTTTGCCTGGCATCACAACCTGTTGTTATACCAAGTGCTTGTGAATCCCTAGTTTTTCTTTTCAAACTTGTTTAGCTAAATTGCAAGATCCTGGTTGCAGTAAGGAAAAGATGCTTCTTTCCAAACATATTAGACTGAGTTAGCCATTTTATGTTAATGGCAATGCTGGCAAGTAAAGTATTCAGCTGCTGAGTTCTGTTGCTGTTCAGATGTTACTGTTGCATTCTGTTATACTAGCAGGACGCCCTAACTTGAGTTTATGTCACGTATTGTATTTGACAAAGCACCATACATTTACTTGTCATGTAATTATAGCACTGTACTCTCAAGGTATTTGTTTTACAGGATGCTTCATGACTTTGGAATAAACAAGCATTCCAAGACTGATCAAAACATGGTTGAGTTGCTGTTTGTGACCTGGTTTTAATTAATGAAATACTGCTTTAATCATGGAAGCATTGTGTATGTGCATATATACATAGATATTACTGCTGTCAGGGGAAGATGGGATTTCACTGCTTAAACACATATGCTACAGAACACCCATGATCCTCTGGAACAGCGAGCCAGAAGTACCGAAATGATGCTAGACACCCTTGTTTAGTCACCCAGTGCCATTTTCTGTACATTTTAGGCATGTGCTTACTTCATGTGCCATCTCGTGGAATTTCTGATAAATCATTTGAAATGAAGGACTGTGACAGATACATTCCTTTTGTATCACTGACTGTGTGACCATCCCAGAAGCAGGATGAATTTATTTAATTCTCATACGCAGTCATGCTGCTACTGTAACTTAGGAGAACACCATTCCCTTGCACTCTGCATCATGTCTTTGCCCTTTTAGAGCACAGTGGGAATAGAAAACAGTAGCTGCCTAAACCCACTAAAATCAATGAGGAACGAAGTTCCCTCCCATACCAGAAGTGTATAGAAATCCTTCTGACTTAATATGAGCACTTGAGGTCCTAACTGAGTGAAACAAAGTGGGCATTTGCTTTAGTCTGCTCAGTCTGGTAAAGTATTTTACAGTGTGTTTTATTTGAAGTACCTGCTCAAACCACATTGCTTTTGATAGAACTTAATAGAGAGCTGATATTTCACTATGATCTTCAAGACACTGCCAATTCTACAGCGTATCTGAAACCAAATTGTTTTAAAATTCATAATCCACTTCTCAGGAATGTTGTTAGGAGTCTTTGTGGTGCACCAAGGTCCAAGGCACCCACTCAATCAATCTGCAAAATGTTGAATGTCCTGGTAATGGTAACTGTCCACCTAATTATTTCTGCATTGGCAGTGTTATTTTTTCATGAAAATTCCGTGTAAAACATGTATTATTTCAGTGGGAAAAAAAAAAAGTGTATAGACTCTTGAGATTTCAGAATTGCTGTCAAAAGTTCTGGTTCATTATTTATTTTTGAGAAGTAAGGGATACACAATTAAACTGCATATATCAATCTCAAGGTTGTATTTGTCACATTCTCCTTCCAGAGTGGTGTTGATAAAATGCTGCCAGAAGGGTACCATTCCTCCATGATGAGGAGTTTAAATGTGGCTAGACGAGAAGAAAAAAAAATATTTCAATTCCTTCAATTCCTTCTCCTTTATTCTCATTTGTTATGGTATAAACATGTACAGAAAGTTAACATTACCAGTGAAGAAGGTTTTGAGCAATGGAAATGGATAAAGCGTTTGTTTATACTTAACACAGTGTCGATGGCATGCTGGGCAGAGTTATCATAGGAAATACCAATATTTTCAAATTACAGTGTTTTTCATTTAGAATAATATCCCCGTTCACCTTACCCTGGCCAAGTAATGAGGTCTGGCAAAAATGTGTTTTCACTCGAGCTGTGATTCTCTGTCTGGTATTTGGAGAGTTTTTATGGGAAATGGCACATTTCACAAATGCATTTGGTCAGGAGGAAAATCTCATTGTTGGAACAAGAGTAAGGGGGGAGAGCACAAAAATTGGGCCACTATTTCGACAAAGCCTAGCTAAAAATGCTGAAGTAACAAGGGGAGCTCTCCTTACACTGGACAACAAGCAAAGTTCTGCAGCCTTTTGATGTTTTTCTATCATAAGCCAAATATTCTGTTTCCTCTTCTCTTTTTCACCTCTATATAGGCATCATTGATCATGATAAATTCTTGTTATCACGGTGAGCAGAAGGGTGGGCAATGACAGGCAGAGATTGCTCACAGAAACAGGTGAGCCTTTCTAGAGGGAAAAAACAGCAGCCAGGGGCTGAACAGCAGCTGTCCCCTTAGCTCAGGTGCCAACCTCTCATAGATTTCAGTTAGTTAATGTACCAGATTTCCTAAAGTAAATGAACACTTTTCTTGTATAACCACCAGGGAGATGTGAAAGCCTTTGAAGGCCTGCAAGGAGGTCTGGCTCACTTTTGCATTTCAGGATACAAAATCTTTAGGTGTGAACTAGCTCTCACAGTATCTTATCCAGAGGATCAGCTGAAGAAGGAGTGAGTACATGTTACAAAATTGAGAGTATTTGAGGAGCACACACAGGTGGTTCCTCACCTGTTTCTGATTCTGAATTTTGAGGTGAAAGGGATCCGTACCCTGATGCTGGTCCCACCAGACTCCTAAGAGCTGGTGAACAGCCATACCATCCAATTAGAGCCCTGTTCATCGCAGTGAGCATAATACTTAAACTTACATGTGCCCAAAAAGGCATTAAATCCAACTGGATGTTTCAGGAAGGCTGAAGATTGGCACACTGAAATAATTTGCAGTCAGTGCAACTTGGATTGTTTCTCTTGAAAACCCATTATCATTTTTGTATGTGAGATGAGTTCACATAATCTGCAATTTTCATCTGTTTCCCTTTTCCAACTCCTCCCAAATTTAATTCCCATGAATTGAATAGCTCCGTGATTTGTCATTACCCTTTATGATGTCGTGTTTAGCATATGCATTTGCATTAGACTGAGCTTAATAACTGCACTTTCTAATATGAAATTGTGCATTGTTGACAGATGACTGATGGTCTGAATAACCAACAACTTGTCCTGTCTCCCTCCTCAAAAACCGTTCTGCTTTTCCTGGAAATTAATTTTGTTAGCTCAAAGTTTCTGATATTTCTTTAGATACATTTTCCAAACAAGCCTTCCTCTAACTATATACAGTGATGCATCTTCTTGTAGTATAATGGCACCTTAACTATGATGACTGCAGTGATTCCCTGATCTGTCATGCATATCCATACCTCTATATGCATTTTCTAAAGTGGCAACCTCCCTGAAGGCATCCCTGTTCAGGGTGCTAGAATACCATGTCTCCTAGGATGAGACGAAAGACCATAATTTTTAAGCCTGGCTATCTAGCCTTGTGGATTTAAGCATCTTTGTACCACTGAAAGGAGTAAGTTCTTCTTTTATATAAGTGACTTCATTTTTAAAAGTTCCAAGCAACTTGTCTGATAGCAGAATGGAAGACAAAAATGTCTCATTTTGATTTAGGCACCTAAATGAGAGTTGTCGAGAGCCTGATTTTCCCTGAATGCTAATGGGAGGTTGGTACTTTGACAGTCAACCCTCTGGATTAAATAACTGGGACTTCAGACTGTAGAATTAAAAAACTACGAAGAATTTTAAAGCAGCTTCTCAAGTCCGTGGTGCTGTAACAGGACATGAAGCCCAGATTCTTTGCTGGCTTATATCTCCTGTGGTCACTGTGGCATTAATTAACAAGGTCAGAGTGAAAACAAATTGCTACTGTTCTGATTTGACAAACCAGATTCACCTTCTCTTTATACAATGTCTGTAATGTCACCCATACGAAAGGAGAGCAGGAAAAAAAGTCCTTATAGGGCTTGTCTGCACACATACAGCTGCATGCACACATATATACATGCATGTTGTACAACTTTCACTAAAATAGTAAAAATACATTTATATAGCACCTCTCTGACACCAGAATGTATGTATCTTGCTGTCAGCTAATGGTTGTAGCTTTATCACATTACGATGTGGTTTTACCCTGCCAGGCAGTTGAAATCCACCACAACCGCCTTCTCACTCCCACTCCTCTAACAAAGTACAGGTGAAAATGTGATGAAAAGGACTCAAGGGTTGAGATAAGGACAGGGAGATCACTCAACAATGATCATCAAGGGCAAAACAGACTCAGCATAGAGAAATTAATGTAATTTATTGTCTATCGCTAGCAGACTAGAACAGAGAGAAACTAAAAGCAAACTAAAACCACCTTCCCCAATCCATTATCTTCCACATGTTCCACGAGGAGTGGCGCAGGGCAATGGGGAATGGTGTCTGTGGTCAGTCCCTGACACTTCATCTCTGCTGCTCCTTCACAGTCCCCCTCTGCCCCTGCTCTACGTGGGGTCCCTCCCATGGATGCCGTCCTTCCTGAACTGAGCCTGCGAGGGCTGCCCACAGGCTGCAGCTCTTCAGGAACTGCTCCCACATGGCTCCATATCATGGGGGTCCATCCCCCAGGAGCAAACTGCTCCAGCACAGGTCCCCCACAGGTGGGTGACAGCTCCCCCCAGATCCCCTGCTCCTGCGTGGGCTCTTCTCCACAGGCTGCAGCTCCGGCCCGGGGCCTGCTCCTGCGGGGGCTCTCCATGGGCCGCAGCCTCCTCCAGGCCACATCCACCTGCTCCACCGGGGGCTCCTCCACCCATGGGGGGCTGCAGCGTGGAGATCTGCTCCATGTGGGACCCATGGGCTGCAAGGGGACAGCCTGCTCCACCAGGGGCCTCTCCATGGGCCACAGGGGAACTTGTGCTGCATGCCTGGAGCACCTCCTGCCCTCCTGCTGTACTCACCTTGGGGTTACAGGGCTGCTTCTCTCTCAGCTCTCACCCCTCTCTCCCAGCTGCTGTAGCACAGCAGATTTCTCCTTCCTTAACTCTGCTCTCCCAGAGGTCCAACCAGTGTCACTCATGGCTCTTCTCTGGCCAGCAGCTGGTCCCTTTTGGAGCTGTCTGGAGCTGGCTCTGAGCTGACACTGGGCAGCTGCTGGGCTCTGCTCAGAGGCCACCCCTGCAGACTCCTTGCTACCAAAACCTTGCCATGTAAACAAATATGCATTGTGCTTCAGGCTTCGGTAATAAAAAATAATAAAAAAAAGTCATGGCTCATAATTGCACCAATAAATAGTTCCATATACAGATACTGTAATGATCTCAGCCATTTGATACTTTTCCAACTATCTAACCATATATATATTTCATTTGGTATAGTCAGGTCACCTGATAATGCAATCAGCCCACAGTAAATTTAACAGAGCATCATTAATAGACTAGTATTTTCCACCATGCCAATCTCCCAGTAAATTTATGAGAAGACAGCCCAAGCCTTCAAGTCCTTATTAGGAGATCTTCCTGACATGTTCAGCTCTGTGACAAAATAGCCAGCACATTTTTGCAGTGTTCTTGTCTTTGCTTGCAAAGAGCATAAGCTTTTAGCACTTTTTCCAGAAATGTATTTTCTTGGGGCGTATGGACTATTTATTTATAATGGCTTGCACAGAGGAATGAAGGTGAGTAATATCCTTAATGTCATAAAGAAGCTCATCAGCATCAGTTGCTGATGGAGAAAAACAGAATCTGATTACAAGGAGGGTTGTATTGGTATGCGAGGCAAGGACAGCCTGGTGCATGGCTTTGCCCTAAGAGTTAAGAGGCTCTGCAGACTATTTTCCCTTATTCATATTTATGACACTGTTGTCAGAAGTGCTTGGAAAGATGTACAGCAGTTAGAAAATGTAGCACAGTAAAATGGTTGTGCTTAGGTTTTTCCAAGAAGCAATTCAAACCAGAAGCATTTTAACATTGTTATGATTGCAGGAAAATGTGTGAAAATTTGTCCACAATATGTAATCCACCTGAAAATACCTTGTTTGCTTATTATTGCCAGAGCATGGCTCTTTTACTTGAAAACAGTGATAAAAACCAGGGAGGTGTTTTTATACATCCAAATTCCTTTAAAACCTATATTTCACACTCAGACAGCAATGGCTAGGGACCAACTCTGTGGGCTGCCTTGCATTGCCATTGCCATTGCCATACCAACCTCAGTAAGGCAGGACAATTCCACCACTGAGCCTGTCTATGAAGCACAGATCAGTGCAGCATGTGGTGACAGAAGAGTAAAGCCACGTAAGGCTGAATCAAGGTGCAGAAAGGCTGATGATCCATAGTGCCAGGCCAAAGCTAGGGTCTATAATTAATGTTTATTGCTGAATTGTTCTTCTTTCAAAGGGGATTTTTTTTCTCTGTGTGCAGGAAAAGAAGTAGTCTCCATGTTTATTTTCCCTGATCCAATGATTTCCAGAACTTTTTGGCTCCATGTGAGTTCTGCACTCCTGATGTCCTCAAGAGGAGGAGGTAGCAGGCAGACTCATGGGGAATTGTTCATATATTAAAAAATGGGTTATCAGAAAGCCTAATGGCTGCAAGATGGATATGCAGAAA